GCTCTGTTTCCTTGTGAAAACAATTTATTAGGCCTAGTGGAGCCAATACCCTGGAGTTGTAGAGGAGAAAAATAAATTCTTGCCTCAAATTTCCTCACCTGAAAAATAGAATGCAACCTTGTAATTTCAAGGCATGGGTTTTATGTGAAGGTCGACTTTAAGGCATAAAGCCATAACCATTTGGACTGCATTTTAGCTGCTTTTAAGACTATGCAAGTATTTATTAAGAACGATGCTTTCAAAATCAACAAGGGAACCCAAATGGGACATAAAGATCCCTTTCCAGGAAGGAACCTTTGTTTCCACGGTAGCTGCACATTCAGCAAGGAAGTCAAGCCCCTGTCTACGTTCTGGAACAATCCCAGTGTCAGATGGCCTGCTTAATGGCTTTCCCGTTTCCATCACTAACGGTGCCGACAGCCTACCTTTTCTGATATGCTGACATTGTAATTTATCTTCAAAAAAATAAATCACATGTTATAGCATTTCTATCATCCGGGTTAATCGAATCAGTTCCTTAAATGTCTCTAAGTCTAATGATTTGAAAGAGGCACATTGTTTGAAATATTAAAAAAAAGGGGGGGAGAGAGGGCTTGGGTTATATGCAAAATGATCTCAGAGCTCGTTTCAGATCTAAGTGTCTCCTAATGGTCTCATCCATCTCCAAAAGGATGTGCCTGGCCACTTTATTCAAAATCTTTCCTGAAAACTCTGACAAGCTTAACTCAGAGTATATTTAGAGGGAAATACATTTAATTCATTAACAAACGCTTATAGAAAGAACTTTGCCTATTTTTACCCAGAAATGTTTAATGAAGTATTTTGGACCCATTATAAAAATTCTATAAAATAAATGCACTTATTTAACATCGATATTAACTTTTTTTTATTGGCCATCTAAACACCCATTTAATTAGCTCTTCCTCCTAATGCCCAGAAGAGGCTGAGATTGGGGCATTTATTAGCTATAAAAATTCTCTAGATATTAACTCCCTCGTTTCTTAATGTGGCCTCTGGTCACTGTGTTCCACAAAAAGGGATATTCGTGGTTTCAGGAAGCGGCTCACTGACTGGTTATGACTCCAAAACTCTGCTTCAGTACATAGCACACCACTTTCCTTTTGAAAGGATCCTCCATGTTTGGGGGACGCCTGGAGACAATTTTAAAAGTGGGAACTAGATTTGTGTTTGTTATAAGGCCCAGTTCTACTTCATATACACTCTACAGTGAGTGATCCGGGTATGCAGGTGCTACCCATTAGCAGCAACCGCACTTTACAGGGGAAAACATGAAGAGCCCAGCTGGCAATCTAGTCCGCCAGGGCCGAGGAAAAAGGCTTCAGCGCCCTCTGCAGCTAATGGCGCATACGTGCAGGTGACTATGTCCGAGTTTAACCTGTGGGCAACCTGTGGGTTGTGTCTGATACTAAGATGTCTATTTTACTAAAATTTAATTTGAATTAGTTTGCAGGAAAACATGTTGGGGATTCCGTCAAATTTTAGATTGAAGTTGGTTTAGAATAAAAACTGTTATTAAAAGATTTTTTTTTTTTTAAAAAAAGTCAAATTTGTCATAGAAAATGTTCTGCTTAGAGCCTGCTCATGAGAATTTAAAGATAGAGCCATGTGGGCCACAGATTAGGCACAGCTATTACTAGTACTCCATCAGGTTTTGCTTTTATTGTGTTGGGGGGGGGATTGTGGGTGCACATGGTGTGTGTGTGAACGTCAAAGAATAACTTTTGAAAGTTGTTCTGGTTCCTTTTTTCCACCACGTGGAGCTCCAGGACCAAACTCAGGTAGTTGGGTTTGGCAGCAGCCGCCTTTACTCACTGAGCCACCTTACCAGCCAAGGTAGGGGATTTTAATAGATGTTTTTAACAATTTAAGTGCTTGGCATATAATTCAGGGTTTTTTTTTTGTCTTTCATGCTCCTGAGTTTATATTTTGCTTTTGACTGTTAAAACCCCCACTTCTATATATACATCTTTGTTCTTATCACTTTCCGTAGAACTCTTTAATCCTCAGCAGGTTCTTCCTCTCCGGAGTGCTGGGTTTATGCAGACATTCAATTCTGAGGATCTTTGGGGCATAAGAGATTCTCATGCAAACATTAGTAGTGTTTGGGATAGAAACTCATTCATAACCACTAGAAAACAACACTGAATGACCAACCCTTGGTGTCCTCTGTTGCATTCTGGGAGGGGCCACTGAAGGGATACGAGGGCCACTAGTTGTGTTTGCAGCAGAGGAAGAATGTTAACCACTTCTCAACTATAAATTCTGTGTGGAAGGCACCAGGCAAAAACAGAAGACATTCATGGCTAGGACATGAGCATCCCGTTTGGACATCCAAAACCAAATAGCAAGGAATCTTGCTACAGTCATGCATATGTTCCCCTTCAGGTAAACTGACTCCCTAGAGACTGTTGTTAAACCTGGAAATACTAGCCTATGAAGATACACACACACACACACACAAACCTGTGTGATGTCTCTGGTGCTGTATTTGTAATGAGCATATTACATTGCTGAATGACAATAATTAAATATTCAAAGCATTGGAGAGCTGCAGGAGAAATGTAGAATGACTATAAAAGAAGGCATCAGAAAAGACAAAGTCCCTCATTTGATTTCTCCAGGGCCTTCTATGGGTTTCTTTGTGTTTCTGATTACTATAGGAACAGACATGAAGCCCAAAAGATAAAGACAGGAGTTTCCAACATGAGGTCCAACAGAAAACACCTGTGACGTTTTCCATGTGTGTGTGTGTGCTCATGCGTAGATCCTAGAGTGTAGAGACCAGAGAACAGCCAAGGGTGTTGATCCTCAAGATGCTATCTACTTTAACATGCTTTTAAAGATAGAGTCACTCATTAGGAACTCGCTGATCAAGCAAGGCTGAATGGCCGGTGAGTCCCTGCTTTCTCCTTGTTTCTGCCTCCCCAGTATGTGGATCACAAGCATGAGCCTCGAGACCTAGCTTTTCCCCTGGGTTCTGAGGACTGAACTCAGGGCCACAAGTACTGTAGCATACCGACTGAACCAACTGTCTCCACAGTGCCGCCTTGTGAGGTGTGTGTGTGTGTGTGTGTGTAAAGGTAACACAGGTAGAACCCATCTCTATAAACTGGGATTTCCAGAAGCAAACGCTGGGAACTGACAATGCTTTCAGCTTCCTGAATCCAAATGATGTTATCTTAAGTACGTGACCCTTCGCTGAAGGAAGAAAGAGAGGAAATAGAGGAGAAACCAGCGTGTTTTCCCCACAGCAGAGAAGCAGCCATCTCGCGAAGTTGTCAGTTTCCTTATGTGTATGTATTTGGTCATCTTACTCTAGCTGAGCTGGGAGCAGGGGTCAGACATCCATGGAACAGCTCAGTGGTTTTTAAGCTTGAGTCTAATCATACTCATTTAGAGAGTTAGCAAAGAATGTCTGAATGCCTGGCTCCACTCCAGAGACATCAGTTGCTCTCTGTCCAGTCGGGTTTGACTGTCAACTTGACACAGCCTATAGTCACCTGAGAAGAGAATCTCTATTGAGGGATTACTCAGATTAAATTGGCCTATAGACATGTCTATGGGGAACTGTTGTAATTGTTAAGTGATGTTGGAGGGCCCTGGAGCATGATTAATAAAGACCCAGAGAGAGAAATTGGGGTTCAACCTTCAGATCCAAAAAGCAAAGCAGCCAGCCACTGGCTCTTACCTCGACCTCAGTCTGAAATGGCAATTCTCCAAGGAATCTCAGAATGAGACTGTGTCTGAGCACTGTTTCCTCCCATTTTATAATCCTCTCTACGGCTGGGATTAAAGGCGTGCACCACTGGGATTAAAGGCATAACCACGTGGCTTCTATGGCAACTAGTGTGGCTATTGGGATTAAATGTGTGTGTTACCACTGCTTGGTCTGTAAGGCTGACCTTTGGGGCTGTTTTACTCTCTGATCTTCAGGCAAGCCTTACTTATTAAAATACAAATGAAATGTCACTGCAGCGCCCAGCCCACCATGGGCAACCCCACTCCTGAGCAAGACCTCCTGGATTATATAAGAAAGCTAGTTAGGCGTGAACCTGGGAGTGAGCCTGTAAACAGTGTTCTTCCATGGTTTCTGCTTGAGCTCCTGCCCAGTCTTCCTTCAGTGATAGACCATGAACTGCACGTGTAAGCCAAATAGACTCTTAGTTATTTTTGGTTTGAACATTGCATCACAACAAAAAGGAAACTAGAATACATTCAAAAGGGTCCCAGGGTATTGATTGGTATTCAGATGGGGGCCTGGATGTGGGTATCCATCACAGAGGTCTCACTCTTCAGCCTCTGGGTCAGAAGAGGGATCCTGTGCCTCCTCATTTCATCACGCTCTCGCTTTGCTATTTTAAATTTAGTATCTGAAAAACAGATCGAGCCTCAAATGGACTGACCTTTCCACTAATGTATCTCACCTAGATTAACAGAGATGATTAACTAATTTATATTGGAATTGTGCACTTTCCAGTTCACATTTATCAACTCTTAAATGCTTGATTTGGTGATGCAATTTAAATTTTTTATTATTACCCTTTAAATCTGAAGAAATAGCTTCTGTCTAATTAGTCAAACTTACATATTCAATTAATAGATTCATTATAGGCTAATGAATATGGAGGCAACACAGGGGCAACATCTGCTTGCCGTGTGAAGCTCAAACTTTTCAGTTACAGAAGAGGAAGCAATCTCTTATGTAACTGAAACAACATGAACTTTCCATTTGAGAAAGCTCAGAGATGGCTCCCTTTTTTGGAAGAATATGGGAATCAGAACTGAAAGAGAAACATATCTGAAATATATTTTGACCCAAAAATATAGTCTATTTTGTCATTCTAAACAATCACAATTTTTCTAATGCAAATTTTTAAAATAATATGTTCTCAGGAAAATACATATATGAGGACACAATTAGTACCATAAATTAAACATTTTAAATACTTTATTTTACTTTGAGTGTGTGGTGTGTCCTTGGGCATATGTGTAAGTATACCTCCTGCTCTTGAAGCTGTGGCGGTCAGAAGAGGGTGTCAAATCTCCTGGAACTAGAACCCCTGGCTGCTGTGAGCTAGCATGTTGGTGCTGGGAATCGAACCCTGGTCCTCTGGAAGAGCAGTGCGTGCTCTTAGTCACAGAGCCATTTCTCTAGCTAAGAATCAAGCATCTTTAAATGTGGTTTGTATTAGGCTCATTCAAAATCATGTGATTTTGCAGTTTGAAGCAGGTGTCTTGGCATTATCTGGGAAACTAGACGCTCAGATTCAGATTCAGCTGTGTTTGGAGTGCAGACAGTTCAGGGAACTAAAGTGAACTTCCACACATGTCTAGTTGGTAGACTCTTGGCTTCTTATTTCTCTGGCCGTGAAGAGGTCATCGCTTGCAGTAGCTATGAAAAAAAATCACCAATTTCAGGAAAAGCAGATAAGGGCTGGAATTCACTTGAAAAGCAGCCATAGAGGGCATCAAGACTGCCGGGTGGGTGACACAATCTATGGTGTCCTCCGTGTCAAACCAGGACTGATGTGTCCAGGGGCTGAGGAGATAGTGTGGTTGGCAAAACAACATGGTGTGATGGCATGCAACTGTAATCCCAGCGCTGGGAAAGCGAAGATGGAGGATCCCTGGGACAGGACTTCCTGGCTAGCCAGACTAGCCCATTAGGTAAGCTCCAGGTTCATGTTAACCTCTGGCCTTCACACACAACTACACACACACATACACATACGTACACACATACAAATACACACATATAAACACAAAAAGATAAAATTCATCTCTTAAGTATTTCAGAATAGCTATGTAGTACTCTACCGAGAAACAAAATAGCTTTGTAGTTCTTACATGTACACGGATACTTGTACTTCTTTTTTAAATATATTTTTTGTTTTTAAAAATTAAAATATAATTATATCATTTCCCTCTTCCCTTTCCTTCTACTTCCCCTTCCATGTAACTTCATACTCCCCCTTGAATCATGGCCTCTTTTTCTTTGCTGCTGTTACATATATGTATAAACACATGAATATAAAAACACTTGTTCAGTCCATTTAGTGTTGCTTTTATATATATGACTTCAGGGATGACCACTTGGAATTGGATAATCAATCAGGAGCTCATCCCGAGTGGTATCTAATTCTACTCCTCTCAGCAGTTCTCAGTGTGTGTGGTTCTGTGTGTAGGGAGGGCCCCATGAGAGTTCCCCTCCACAACAGCGTGTCTATTTGGTCTTGTCATTGTTCAGGTTCTGTTTAGGCGGCCATTTTGTTGAGACTTTATGTAGCTTCCCTGTAATTTCTAGAAGACACAATTTCAAAGCATACTTCTGGTCGTCTGACACAATCTTTCCACCCACTTTTCAAAAATGTTCCCTGGGCCTTAGATCCAGGAGTTGTTTTGTAAATGTATCTATTGGGTCTGGGTACCCTACAATCAATTGTTCTCTACATTTTGACCAGTTTTGCTTTCCTTTAATATTCTCTGTCTGCTACAAAAGACAATTCTTTGGTGAAGGATGAGAGCTACACTTAAAGCAAACTCATTTCTTAAGTGCGAAGTCCCAGTGTCCTGGCTAGAGTATCAAGTGTGTGTTTACCAAATATCTAAAATTGAATGACTGCAACATGCGTGAGCTTGTGCTGGAAGGCTTCCTATATGCTTAGCTCTAGTAGCTAAGCCCATGCGTGGGCAGGTGTGGTATCAAACTTGGTCGTCAGTCTTCATAGTAAGTACTATTTCCCAGGGCTGGAGAAATGGCTCAGTCATTAAGAACACTTGCTACACTTGCGGAGCAGTTGGGATTTGTAAAGGGTCCAGGTTTGATTCCCAGAATCCACCTGAAGGCACACAACCACTTTTAACTCTAATTCTAGAGGAGAGTCCTCTTCCAGCCTCCTCAGGCACTGCACACACTGAACCACTGCAAGTGGTTCACAGACATACAAACAAGTAAAACACCCATAAGTATAAAACAAAAAATATTTTTTAAAAAAGTTGATGCAGGTTCTAAAGAAGAGAGGATTCTGTGGGTAATTTTATTTCAACACATTTGAGAACTAAGGCAAAGCAATAACTACATAGAATGTATAACTTTACCCAAACTGATCCAATAAGAGATAGAAATTTGCCTTACTGTTAAAGAGATAAGATTAGAATTATAAAACTCTGATTTGTGTCAAGGGAAACTCCTGGTCTGTGATTAGTTCCATTAAACATTCAAGGAAGATACTCTTCCTGGAAAACAGATAGCTCGTATTCTAAGTTTGTCCTAATCCTGATACCAAAACCACACTATAAAAGATGGAGGCTATATATAGGTCAACCTCACTAGTGAATACCATTGAGAAAATAAATCACACATGCAATATTAAGACGCTCAAGAGAACAAATCCAAAGAATCATGAATAAGAATAGCTCTTCCAGGAAAGCAAGACTCACTTAAAATTAGGAAATCAGATTGTGAGAGACACACTATGAGCAGATTAAAAAAAAAAAAAACACATGACCTTCTTAGGAAGTACATGAGAAGTTCTTAATAAATGTCAACGCCCATTCATTATAAGAAAAAATAGCAAATAACTAAGGAAAGGGAAGTCCCTTAATCTTAAAAATGTTTTTTTTTCTTCAAAAGTGCATAGAGTAAACATGACACTTAAGGAAACCCAGTGTTTTGCAAGATTTAGAGAATGATCATACTTTTGGTTTTGAATGAGTAAACTAAAACTAAAAGAATAAATAGCAAAATCAGGTAGGTAGACAGACAGAAAAACAGGAATAGATAAGACAGCAAAACAACATTAAGTTGAATGCCCAAAACATCCAGCAGAAATGGACCAAGAAAGACCTGTTGAGATAGCCAGAGTGTCTGACAAAGAAGAGTGTTTCCTTAGGTGAGACTTCAAGAAAAAGAACAAATAACTAAGATAACATCATCAAAACTAGGCAAGGGCCAGCAAATATCCAGTAGAAATTCATTGGGGAAGTTGAGACAATGGGGTAAAATTCCTAATTTACAGCACCCTTTTGACCCCACGGGGATAAGCTTCCCATGGCTGAATGTCCGACCTTTTTGCTACTATAGCTCCCTGCATGCTCTGTTGGAAATGGTTTACCTGCCTGCTGCTTTCAAGGACAGGATGTTCTCACTCTTGCTATTCTTTTACCCTCTCTATCATTGAGTTAGGGGAATCCAGGCCACTAATAGACAAGGGGTCTTGAAGGACACTTGAGGCAAATATGCTTGAAATATGGGGGAGAAGAATCAACCCCACTTCTAGAGCAAGGTTCTCAGTGAGCTCAAATGGCACATGATGATTTACCAATATGGTGTACATCACAATCTATATTTACTTTATGAATATAAAGTTTAACGATATAAATCTGTAGCTACATATATATATTGATATATTGATGTATTGATATGTTTGTTCAGGTAAACCTGCATAAGTTAATAAGAGCAATAGTCAATATGAATGGAATAACCAAGCATGAAGGCTCCTAATTGTAATACCAGTACTCAGGAGGTAGAGGCAAGAGGATCACACATTTGAGGGCAATATGTATTAAGAACTTGCCTCAGGAAAAGTAATTTAAAAGGTGTGTGTGCTGCCAGACATGATGGTGCATGTCTTTAATTCCAGCACTCAGGAAGCAGAAGGAAGTTGAGCTCTGTTGAGTTCAACGTCATCCTGGTCTGCATAGTGAGTTCCATAGTGAGACCCTGTCTCAAATAGATAGATAGATAGATAGATAGATAGATAGATAGATAGATAGATAGAAATTAAAATGTACATCTACCTAAATATATATGGAAAATATAATATTAATTTATATAAATTACATGTGTATTTACATAGATTATATAAGCATGTTTACATAATTTATGACATATACATGTTTATGTCATATACTGATAGGTAATTAGGCATTTATATTATAGATGCAAATAGCAACAGGTTTCTTTTGATTTGCTTGACTGATTCTTTCATTAACTAGAACTTTCCCTTTGTCTTGTTTTATTTCATTGGCTATTGTTTATCATTTCAATGTGAAGAACCAGTTTTCCACTTACCTTTGGGACTTTTTATAAATTTACCTCTGAATTTTTCTTTCTGTTTCATTTTTCGAACTTTCCACCATCCAGGAAGAAATCAGGCTTATTTTGGGATGTCCTTCCAGTTTCCTTCTCGTTGTTTTCATGCCTTTTCTCTGATTTTATATATATATTTGACTCACCATAACTTTTATCCATGCAACTGGTTAGCATTTTGGTCAGACTTATTTGTTTCTTGCAATTTCTAATTTTCTTGTAAGGCCTGAAATGACATTGTTCTGATCTCAATTTGCAAATTCTTTGAAAATTAATTAACTTATCACTTGATATGCATGTGTGTGTATGTCTGTATGAGTTTGTGTGTACCACAGATGTGCAGAATCCCTCAGAGGCCAGAAGAGGTCACCATGCTACCTGTAATGGAGTTACAGAGGCTGTGAGCCACTGTGTGTGCGCTGGACACTGAACCATGGTCCTTCTAGAGCAGTAAGCACTGAGCCATCTCTCCAGCACCTATTCTTTAGAACGTCAACATCTTTTTTGAACCCGTACCATTTTCAAAAGTCACTTCTTCTCTGGATGCTTATTTTATTGAACTCATAATTCTACCATGTTTTTAAATTATTTCTTTCTTTTACTTATTTGTTGACAATTTCACATATGTACATGTTGATCACACCCACCCACATTCATTTACTAAGTTCTGCTTGAAGAGGTTGTGGGTTTGCTTCTCTGACTGACTGTATTTTCTTCTGAAAAGATTTCTCCTGGATTCTTGACTTCTAGGATATAAAAGTGACCTCAGAATTGAACCATGGACTTCTTTTCTTTTTTTGATGCACATGTTTTTTTTTTTTTTTTTCCAGTCTTATGACCTCAGTGCAAACTGCATTTAAAAGTTTTACAAAATAGTCCACGTGGGGGCGAGAGAGAGCTTGGTTGAGGTCGAATGCAGGTTTGCAGAGGCCAGCTTGCTCTCTCTCCCCAGAAATCTCACTACATTTTGTTGCATAGACTTCTCCCTAAAATGTCCCTATCTAATTCTCAAACTTGTATTTTACCTTCTGCGGCAAACGGAGGCTTTGCTGATGTGATGAAGGTAAAGATCTTGAGATGGAGAAGGTACCCGGAAGTAGCCAGCACAGTTCTTAGAAAGTCCTCCGAAGGGGGACTCTGGAGAGGAGCTTGATGATCACAGCAGGCGTTGGAGCCATGTTCTCTGAAGATTAAAGAAGGGACCAAGAGTCAAAGAAGGCAGGTGGCTTCCAGAAGCTGGAAGAGGCAAAGGGACTTATTGTTTCTTGGATCCTCCAGAGGGAACAAGGCTCTGTGAAAACCTTGATTTTATCTTGAGGAAATACATTTTGAACCATTTAGCTCAGATCTGTAAGAAAATAAGTTATGCTGTTTTTAAACCACCAAGATTGTGAAAGCAACAAGAATTGCCGTGCCTGGCTGCCAGTCTGTATCTTCCAGCTGGAATGATATTGGTGAGAATCCTTAGGTTTGGGTTCCTGTGCTCCATGATGTACGCCCCTGAAGCAGGGAAGAGTCCAGAATGCCCCAGACTCAAATCTTCTGTACATTTTCTTCCTTACTATAAAAAAGGTTTTTAAATTAGAGTGGGAGCTTATGTCTCTTCTTTGACTGGTTACTATGAAATATTTTACCTTACCCATCTAATTTTCATTTGTTTCATAAGGGATAGGGGGATTCAGTGACATAGTCTCCCGAGCTACTATGTTTACCCAGAATTCTTTATTATCAATTCCCTCCCCCCCCAACTCGAGTTTGGTTTTTTGTTTGTTTGTTTGTTTTGCTCTTGACTCTTCTTAAAATCATGAACTAGGAATTGCCCAAAATTATCTTTCAGAAAAAAAAGTCTACATTTTCTTTTTTTTATTTTTACATGTGTGTGCTGTATATGTATGTGCTATGCATGCTTGTGTGTGGATGAACAGGTGCATGCATGGGTGCATATGTATGTGGAGGCACAAACTTGATGCTAAGAGTCATCCTCATTCACTCTTACATCTTATTCAGGGAGGCAGGGGTTTTCAATCAAATTCAGAAGTCACTGATATGAAGAACAGTATGACCCCCCCTCTTCCCTTTCTTCTGAGATTGAAAGTACTTACATGGGCCCACACACCCACCTGACATTTACATAGGTTCTGGTGAATATGACCCAAACTCTGATCCTCACACGTCATGACAAGTACTTTAACCATTAATACATCTCCCCAGGCTCCTCTAAAGAAGTCTATTTTTATGACATTTGCACTAATTATACAATTCTTGTTTTTCAAATAGTAAAATATGTTCATAGGACTGTTTTATTTTTTAATTTTTTAAAGAGGCCTATGTTTCCTCACACTTAACATTTTCAATAAAAACATTTATTTTTATTATTTTTTTAATATTTATTTATTATGTATACAATATTCTGTCTATATGCCTGCAAGTCAGAAGAGGGCACCAGACCCCATTACAGATGGTTGTGAGCCATCATGTGGTTGCTGGGAATTGAACTCAGGCAATGAGTCTTACCTGAGTTCAGGCAATGCTCTTAACCTCTGAGCCATTTCTCCAGCCCCTGTTTTTTATTATTTTTAATAGTCTATGGTGTGTATCTATGTGAAAGCCTGGTCCAATTGTCCACAATAGGCTCAGTTTACTGCACTGCTTTGATCCTGTGGGCCCCACTCTAAACTGAGACATGAACCAATGCAAACAGTAGTGGGTATCTGGAGTGGAGATTGGCAGTAGGAGACACAGAAATCAAAACAAATTTTGGAGAGCCAAATCTTACAACAGTGTGGAGAATGGGGTTGGAGTAGAAGAAAGCTAGATCCATCAGAAGCTAGATCCAAGTAGGAAAGTGGGAAAGCCTGATTTTAATCCATCACAATGGAGCTAGAGAGAATTTCTGTGGGAATTCCTTCAGTCAATAGCCCTTAAGATCCAGCCCACTTGGGTGTGATCTCTTATACTGCAAATGCAGCCATAAAGCTTGCATTCTCTCTCTCTCTCTCTTTCTCTCTCTCTCTCTCTCTCTCTCTCTCTCTCTCTTGCTAGATTCAGTTCCTGTTTCCTCACCCATGCAGAGGACTGTGATCTATGAATCTACCCCTAAATAAAGAACCCTTTATTATACTCAGTTTTGAGCTAGTGTGGGAATACTTTATAGTGTTCATCTTCATCTGGTGCCCACATGAATTCCAACTCCACACCTACCAGGACTGTCCCAAAAAGGCCTAAAAGATCCACACCTGCCTGGCTTGATTTCACCTACTAAGCAATTTTTGTCAAAACCCTGCCACACTGGAGCTACCATGAGGTGATTAGCAATTTTCCAGGCTCATGCAGGCTTTTCTTCCTTTTCTCCTGACTTCACAGAGACTTGTGCAGTTTCTGGTTTGTGTTCCCTGCTTGAAAGCTCTGAGTTACTTGATATTCTGGAAAAAAAACTTTCTCCGTGTATGGAATTGATTTAATTGCTCTTAATTTGTCAAGCAAAGCAATTTGTCAGTATTTAAGCAGGCCCCAACATGGAACTGAGCGTGACTGTTCACGCCACACTGGTCAAGTCTCTCCCCAGCCAGTCGCATCTCTCTGCTACATGTCTGAACTCCAACACCTGCTGATCAATAAAGATTATTACATCTACAATTTACTGCAATCTCATAATGGAGGTAACTTTATTTGAGTAATAAATAAATCAATGAATTTGAAAGTTATATAATTGCAGACAATATTACCACCCAGGAATTTAATAACCTTTTGCTTATACTATAGATGGTATTCTGCAAGGCTTATATGGTTTTTCTGATATATCCATTTATTGGATATTGGGACTTAGCTTTGTTTTTTATTTTATATCCTGAAGAAAGTGGTTTGATAACAGAGCCAAGAATGAGGCACTTTTAGAAATGATACAGTCTTTACAGACTAATAATGAAGAGCTAGCTGACAGAATTAATACCATTGAAAATCAAAAGTTAGCTAAAAAAATAATGCCATTGAAAAGGATAACATTAATTTGACAGACAAAATTCAATCCATGTCAACATGAAAGGATTCATACTGTTGAATTTGACAGTCAAAATCTGCTAAAAAGTTATGATAAGTTAAAGATAGAGTATATCTCTAGGAAGGAAATCTGCACACCTTTCATGATATCCAAGGATGAGAAGTTATCCTTAATGGAAAAATTTCATACCTTGGAGTCATATGTGCAGAATGAGGACCAGAGGCTAACTGACTCAATGAAATCATTAGAAATATTCATAGATCAAGAGATTCAGGCTTTACAAAAGACAGTGGTAAAAAGATTTGAAATGATTAAAGAAATTATAAGAGCTGATGAGCAGGGAAAGAAGATACAAGGAAAGGATTTAACATCACCAGTACCTATCAGAGTCAGAGATAATTTACCAAGGGTTTTAGCTTCCTACTCTGTAACCAACTCTGACAAACCATCAAGTTCTAAATGCCCAAAATGATCCAAAGAATGTAGATGGAAAACTATAGGTATGAATAATCTTTAAAAAAATGAGCAAGCAGTCATATTTTATGGCTTACATTTACCATTTGTTAGGGAGGTGCTAAAGACATGGGCTTCCAGCAATAAGGCTACCTCACATGATTGACTTCAATTAGTTTCAGCAGTCCTGGAAGACAGGTTGAAACTACTGTGGAAATGTTATTGGCAAGAAGAGTCAAGGATTTTAGAACAACAGGGAAAAGCAAAAGGTTTTGAAGCTTCCCAAGATCAAATTCTTGGCAAGGGCACTTAATGCTGACTCATAGGATCAAACCCTTTATGATGAACACGTCTTGCCCCTATACTACACAGCAGCTTTAAATGCTTGGGACAGGATTCAAGAACTAGGGGAAAAAATTGAATCATATACCTGGGTTAAACACAGCCAAAGAAAACCTTTAGTGACTTTTTACAAAGATTAACTAAGGTTGTACAAACAGGAATAACAGACCCAGAAGCTAAACAAGTACTTATTGAATCTTTGGCTTTTGAAAATGCCAACTTAGAATGCAAAAAGATATTTGGGCCTTTAAAGGTTTGATCAGCATCAATGGATGAATGGATCCTGCATACAATGAACATTGAGACATTTGATTATAATACTGAGGCTTGGGTAGGACAAGCAATTTCCAAAAGTATGAGGAGACATCAAAATGCCAAATGTTTTAATTGTGGTAGAATAGGACATCTGAGAAGGGATTGTAGACAAGCAATTCTTAGAAATAATGTCTTCTCTGGGAATGGCAAAAATAGAAAGTCTCAATCTTCTGGACTATGTAGAAGATGTAGCAAAGGTCAGCATTGGACCAATGAGTGCAGATCAACAAAAGACAGACAAGGCAACCTGATACCATCAGGAAACTCCTTGGGGGGGGCCTCTTGCAGGCCCCCAAGTCAAAATTGGGCCAGTCATTCCCAGTCACTGTAAAGGACATGTCTCACCAGGAAAATTAATAAAAAAAAATCTATTGCTTGCTATAAAAAACCATGCTGTTCTGGATGATGGAATAAACATGGAGGATGAATCAAAAATTCCAATAGGAAATAGGAAATGTATATTTTGGCAGACTTCTATAAATAATCAAAGACCAAGCTAAGAATGCATATAAATAACATTGTAATTGAGGGATTACTGGAAATAGGTGTGGATATGACTATCATTACTCCAAAATCTTAGCATCCAAATTGGCCTCTTCAAGAGGCAAATGTTCAATTCCTAGGAATAGGAATCCTATCTCAAGTGAAACCAAGTATGAGATAGGTTGAATGCATAGGGCCAGAAGGACAAAGAGGAATGCTGAGCCCATATGTGGCTAATATCATAGTGAACTTATGGGGTCACAACCTGCTTCAGCAAAGGAATACACAGATTAACATTCCTGCAATCCCAGAAACATGAGTTCCTGGGAAGGATATTATAAGGTAGTATAACAAAAAGTCACTATCCATCCAGGCTGTAAAAGAACACAAAAGAACTAACAAACCTTCAGAGGTACAATGACCCTACCTTTAAAATGGTTAACTGAGGAACCAATATAGGTTAAACAATGGCCTTTAACAGAAAAGAAACTAAAGACTTTAGAACAATAGGTACAGGAGTAACTAGCTGCTCACCATATTGAAGAATCAACCAGCCCTTGGAATTCTCCTGTATTTGTTGTTAAAAAGAAATC